CCGCCCCTCTGGCCCCTTGTCCCCCTCTAGGCCAGCATCGCCAAATGCACGCACGGAATCCATCGCGTCCAACGATTCGATTCGCTTTTTTCACCGATTCATTCTCAGCAACTTGGAATTTCGCCTCGCTACTTTCATTCCGCCGCCATTTCACCAGTTCATTTCGTTGTAACGTTATCGTCGTTTATCTATTTGTCAGTAGGAGGAGCGGCAATTACTCGGCCAGCAAAGATGCGAGGCTTTGAAATTTATTTCAAAACACGATAGCCCCGCGGCTCTTCTTTTTCCTACGGTTTTTCGTTTAACCATCCTTCTCCTCGCGGGAATTCATTTCGTGGCTGGACGATTTTTATGGCCGATCCAACGAGATAGCCACGCAGGCCTCTGCTAAATATTCCTACGTTGCGCGTCTTCGTTTCTCCTCAGAAAATTGCCGTTTTCATGCATTCGCAATTAACGTGGCCGCTTTCTTCTCGGTATCTCGATTCACGCTACGGCGTATCGATATTTGGAAACTCACTACGAAACGTTTACGCGTAATTTTACGACAAACATTCTCCGCATTACGAAGAAAGAACCTTCCTCCACACTCGAGTCTTTGCTTCTTCCCATAACTCCAACCATAATCGTTCTCCATGTTTTTCCTCGTTTCTGCGTACGCGATGGATCGCACGGAAAGTTGGTTCCGATTTTTGAGAAATTTGATCGTTGCGAAAGATCGTATCGGAAAGTTCTCCGCCGAAAAACCTGACAGGTTCTGAAAGGATGGAAAGACGGAGAAAGCTTGTGCAAGAAAATGGCACACGTATACATCGTTCGATAAATGTATATCGAACGGAAACTAACTTCCCGAGCTTATTTACGCACATCCTGTACGAATTTTCGCGCCTTTGCAAACTTTCCAACGAAGCGGCGCAAAAGCTAGAGGACAATTCGAATCACGTTGTTGTTTTGCCTCGCCATCAACATCGTTATCGTCATCGTGGTTATCAACATCGTTATCGTCATCGTCGTTATCAACATCGTTATCGTCATCGTGGTTATCAACAGCGTCATCGTCGTCATGGTTATCAACATCGTTATCGTCATCGTCGTTATCAACATCGTTATCGTCATCGCGATTATCAATATCGTTATCGTCATCGTGGCTATCAATATCGTTATCGTCATCGTGGCTATCAATATCGTGATCGTCATCGTGGTTATCAACATCGTTATAGTCATCGTGGTTATCAACATAGTTATCGTCATCGTGATTATCAACATCGTTATCGTCATCGTCGTTATCAACATCGTTATCGTCATCGTGGCTATCAATATCGTTATAGTCATCGTGGTTATCAACATAGTTATCGTCATCGTGGTTATCAACATCGTTATCGTCATCGTCGTTATCAACATCGTTATCGTCATCGTGGCTATGAACATTGTTATCGTCATCGTGGTTATCAACATCGTTATCGTCATCGTGGCTATCAATATCGTGATCGTCATCGTGGTTATCAACATCGTGATTGTCATCGTGGTTATCAACATCGTTATCGTCAGCGTGATTATCAACATCGTTATCGTCATCGTGGTTATCAACATCGTGATCGTCATCGTGGTTATCAACATCGTTAGGACGTACATAATGCGATGATAAATAAACTCCGGGCGAAACGGTGTCACCGCTGCGTGCAACCGTGAAACGAAGACGAATTTGAATCTTCCTCGATCAGTATAAATAGAAGACCATGTTCTCCAGAAGTCAGTCAGTCTCGAGCGATCTTATTAGCGGTTTATACAGTGTCTTTAGCGAATTGTTAGTACGAGCGTCTTAGCGACTATCGTCTGTACTTATTTAAATATCGTTTTAACACTTTGGTCGCCGCGTCACCCATATCTACGTGACGGGTATACTTCCGTGGGTGCCCGTCACCTAAATATGGATGACGCTCTTCTTGTTCGAGTTAATTAACATGTTGGTCGCCCAGCGTAATTCGGCTAAGTTTCCTGCGGGGTGCAAATCCGACCGCAGCTACGCAGAACGTAAATAGACCGAGATTCATTGTTTATCGCCTTCGATTCATTGCAATGAAAAGATTATTTAGTTCCAAAACGAAGAAAGCGATAAGCTTTCCAGCTGGAGTATTCCGAGGGATGGCAAATACCTGAGATCTTTCATTTTATGAGACGTACATCAGTGATTGTTTCGTCCTGAAAATGTTCAGTAGACAGCGTAAAAATATATTTGAAAGCGATGAAAGTAGCGATGGCGAAGTCTACGACTATTGTTCGAAGTGGCGAGAATCAGCCCAAATGTGTTTGCAATGTTTTAACAAATACCATGCGACATAGCATAATGTAATATTTTATCCAGAATGTATAACGTGTTTTTAATATCTTCATCTTGTATATCCTATATTTAAAATATACTTGACGGTTTCAACAACGAGTTATCTCGTTATTCGAACGAATCAACTATCCTGTACAGTAAGCACAACGAAACCAAACGCCTCCAGTGTACCCTTCCACGTACGCAAGAATCGTTGGTGATTCATCGAACGATTTAATAACAGCGCAGATCGGTATCGTTAGGGATCACGGACGACCGATCGACAGCTCGTTAGAAACGTTGGCGTAATTTCGTTGCCGTAATGGAAAAGTCGACGGCTGTCCTATCGACGCGTGTCCATCTACGTGTCGGCTCTAAAAATACGTAAAAAGTACGCTGGACGCGATCGATAACTCGAGGAAGAACAGGCTGGTGGACGTGGACGCGAGACGCGCAAGACAATCGGCGTGGCGAGAAGATAACGTTATCCTGTGGAAACGTTTGTCGGGACAGCGACTCCCTCGTTCCGACGATGGATAGATCGATCGACGAACGCTCGTTAGAGATCGGTGACGAGGCCTCGAGAGCAGGTGTAGGCCCCGGTACGCGCACCGTTCGATGAACGACACCTGCGGAGGCGCTCCGCACACCGGGAAATTATGGCGCGTAGTGGCGCGCCATATTTATTGCTCGGCCAACTATCGCCGGAATCGTCGTAATTTATCCGCGGCCTGCTCGCGTCCGACAGCGTTAATCGTTGTATATGGAGCTGGCGGTTTCACCCCGAGCACGGCCACCGGTGATAGAGTAATTTAACGATTCATTAGCGCTTTCCACGCCAAGATTGCTCTCGCGAATCTCGAGAATGTTGCGCGGTGACTTCTGCCTTTCGGCTAATCTCGCCGTTTCAGCTCGACGTTCTTCGAAAAATAGAGGAACAGGCAGAGGCGAAACGATCGGCCAGCAGGATCGCCACTTATCGCGGAATCGGCGAGGTAGTCGCACGGAACGACGCCGATAGCCACGCGTTTCGCTTTCCGTCTCTTAATGGATACTCGAAAGATTACATCCGCGTTAATTGACGAGCCTGCCGGGCTCTTTTCACCATCCACGGCCTTTTCATCGCTATCTCGCGAGCTTCCTCGTGCTCGTTCAACGAGAGAATCCCATTAATTCGCACCGCAAGACGGCCAAATCCGCCCACAAACGCGCTCCTTTCTTTCTCTTCACGTTCGCAGCATCCGATCGTCGCGATCGTCTTCCAAATTCAATTTTTTCTCGGAAGCTTTCCCGTTCAGCTTTTCGCGTTGCAGGCTCGTCGTGAACGTCGCAGACACGTGAAAGACGTGGCAAATAAGCGGAACTACGTGGAGTTTGTACGGTTCGAAGGTTCTAACAACCAGCGTACTCCGAACGATCTGTTTTATTTCTCCCTGCGTACATTTGCGTCTTTCAAATTCCCACGAACGTGTAAAAGTGCGCAGCCTACTCGTTGGAATTTTAGACGCCCGAAGGGATACAACTTCGCCATTCGTCGTCGACCACCATCCTTTAAAAAACCGTGCGAGTCGTGGCGCGAGTTTGACCGATTTACGAAGCAGTAAAACTTTGTGCCGGTTGATTAACGGGGCCAGATGTCCGCGGATACAACGATACGCCGATTCGTCGTGGCAAAGGAGCCTAATTTCTGGTCGCGGCGGAAAATCTCGCGGTAAATTTTCCCGCCGCTAACTGCCAGATAAAAAGTGCGGCCTCGGCTTTGCGAACGATCGCCACTGCCGATTAATAAATGTTGTATACTCTTATCGGGCTTAGAACGTATAATACATACGTATACGGTAGCTAACTGGCCACGGCGTATCTGGCGTGGTATACTTAATACGAAATAATAAAAACCGGCCACGGCGAGACGTGTTCGGCCACGTCACCAGATAATCGTGAATTATCTACAGGCCAACTGAACACGCGGATAAAACTCGACGTGTACCTGTGTACGTGTGATGGAGGCTCGCGTGCCACTCGCTTATGCACGCTCGGTTATCTAGATGCCTATCTGCCCGGTTTATCGGTAATTTATCTGAACGGGCATTAGTTTTTGCCGGCCGATGGCGTGCACCCAGTAGACCTTCGCGAGGTTAGATTATTCATTATATGGAGCAATCCTTCGCCCTTCTTACCCGCGCAAGGTGTCTTTGATACCTTTTTTTCGGTTATTACGACGTCCCGCGGCTTAGCGTACGAATTCTGGCAGCCAGTTTTACGAGCAGATAAAAAATAAGACTGTAAGTAACATGTAGCAATCGTATAGCGATGTACAGTCCTTAAATTCTTACCACGACACTCTATATATGAGAAAATAAGGCTCTAAGTAACACGTAGCAATCGTATAGCGGCGTACAGTCCTTAAATTGTTACCACGACACTATATATAAGGAAATGAGACTGTAAGTAACATGTAGCAATCGTATAGCGATGTACAGTCCTTAAATTCTTACCACGACACTCTATATATGAGAAAATAAGGCTCTAAGTAACACGTAGCAATCGTATAGCGGCGTACAGTCCTTAAATTGTTACCACGACACTATATATAAGGAAATGAGACTGTAAGTAACATGTAGCAATCGTATAGCGATGTACAGTCCTTAAATTCTTACCACGACACTCTATATATGAGAAAATAAGGCTCTAAGTAACACGTAGCAATCGTATAGCGGCGTACAGTCCTTAAATTGTTACCACGACACTATATATAAGGAAATGAGACTGTAAGTAACATGTAGCAATCGTATAGCGACGTACAGTCCATAAATTCTTACCACGACACTGTATATAAGGAAATAAGGCTGTAAGTAACATGTAGCAATCGTATAGCGACGTACAGTCCATAAATTCTTACCACGACACTGTATATAAGGAAATAAGGCTGTAAGTAACATGTAGCAATCGTATAGCGACGTACAGTCCATAAATTCTTACCACGACACTGTATATAAGGAAATAAGGCTGTAAGTAACATGTAGCAATCGTATAGCGACGTACAGTCCATAAATTCTTACCACGACACTGTATATAAGGAAATAAGGCTGTAAGTAACATGTAGCAATCGTATAGCGACGTACAGTCCATAAATTCTTACCACGACACTGTATATAAGGAAATAAGGCTGTAAGTAACATGTAGCAATCGTATAGCGACGTACAGTCCATAAATTCTTACCACGACACTGTATATAAGGAAATAAGGCTGTAAGTAACATGTAGCAATCGTATAGCGACGTACAGTCCATAAATTCTTACCACGACACTGTATATAAGGAAATAAGGCTGTAAGTAACATGTAGCAATCGTATAGCGACGTACTGTCCTTCAATTCTTACCACGACACTATATATAAGGAAATGAGACTGTAAGTAACATGTAGCAATCGTACAGCGACGTATAGTCCTTAAATTGTTACCAGGACACCCTGTATGTGAGGAAATAAGGCTGTAAGTAACATGTAGCAATCGTATAGCGACGTACAGTCCTTAAATTCTTACCAGGACACACTGTATATGAGGAAATAAGGTTGTAAGTAACATGTAGCAATCTTATAGCGACGTACAGTGCGTAAATTATTATCATGACACCCTATATATGAGAAAATAAGGCTGTAAGTAACATGTAGCAATCGTATGGCGACGTACAGTCCTTCAATTCTTACCATGACACTATATATAAGGAAATGAGACTGTAAGTAACATGTAGCAATCGTACAGTGACGTATAGTCCTTAAATTCTTACCAGGACACACTGTATATTAGGAAATAAGGCTGTAAGTAACATGTAGCAATCGTATAGCGACGTATAGTCCTCCAATTCTTACCAGGACACGCTGTATATGAGGAAATAAGGTTGTAAGTAACATGTAGCAATCGTATAACGACGTACAGTGCGTAAATTATTATCATGACACTCTATATATGAGGAAATAAGGCTGTAAGTAACATGTAGCAATCGTATAGCGACGTACAGTCCTTCAATTCTTACCACAACACTATATATAAGGAAATGAGACTTTAAGTAACATGTAGCAATCGTATAGCGACGTACCGTCCTTAAATTCTTACCAGGACACACTGTATATGAGGAAATTTTTCTCGAAATTCTGTCGAAGGTTTCTCGCGGCTTTCTGATTTCCGTTTGCCTTGGAATCTTCTTTAATCACGTTGATCGCAGTCATACAAATTCCGCCACATTTCGAACTCGCCGTATTCCTTTTGCTCAGCTTGCGCTCTAAACACGTCATACGTTTCACTTAATCAGAAACGTCAGATTTCGATAACGAAGCTTTCCGAATAATTGTATATCATTTCCTGGGACGTTGGCACACGTAGCGACCCCATCCCCCGCTGCCGGGGATGAGATATTCGTCTTCGGCGGGTCGGCTAGCGTGCATCGACTTAGCCCTTTCAGGGGCTAAATTATGCATAGCGCGCCGTAATTCCAATGTATGTACGTGTGCAAGCCTACACCTGCCCGGCAACGTCTGACGTTTATTAATTACGTCGAAGAATCGCGCTGCCTCCGACCATCGATCAGAATTATTCTCGCAATTAATGGAAATCATGCGAGATCCTCGCTTTTTACCTTCGTATCGCCGATCCTCGTGTTACTCGAGTCGTTGGCACCTCTACCACGCTGGACGTTTGTTGTTATCGACGTCGGACGAGACCGTTTGTAACACGTTTCGTTCATCGACGAATACATCTGTTTTTATCCGAAAGAAAGAGGAAAAAAGGAAAAAACGTAACGAGCAAGAACCCTTCAATTTTCTGCTTCGAGTAGCCTGCGATTTCGCTGCGATCT